TACAAAATTCAGGTTGTACGCAGCTGATGAGAACCAACTAAATAAAATGTATCCACACTATTCTGCGTCGATGTTTCTTCTTTCTTTGTTCAAATTTGTAAAAAAGGAATCACTGTATGATATTCATAAATCCATCATTACGGGATAATTGCCTATTCCTTTCCATATTATTATTACTCATTTCCTTTCTAAATTTAGAAGTAAACCAGTAATGAATCATACAAACCAAAGTTTTGCACTATTGTGAACCATTTATGGACATGTTTTGATTTTTTCTCCTCCTCTATCTATGAATATGTTTTGACGGTGGATGATGTCTGTCTAAGCTTCTGCAAGTAATACGTGATTGAACACATTAATTCTAATGTAGTTAAACAGGCTAGCAACGTGGATTATACTTTCAGTAGAAATAAATCCACATACACACAACATTTAAATGTTACTCGTCAAGAAATATGAAAATAATTTCTTCTACTATGGATTATCATTTGTTAACTTAACGTCATTCAAATTGGCCTTTTAGTTACTTTTAAAAAAGACAAGAAGAAACAGTAAGGAAAATTCCCTGTGTGTGACGTATTTTCGTGACTATTCATCAAAGCTGAATAGTTATTTAGACATGAATGTTAATTGCAAACAACAGTCAGAGGTTATTGTCAGTGAGCAATTAAAGATAAATTGAAGAGTATAAAAGTGTTAAAAATGATGAATAGTCTTGGGTAATTAAGAAAGTGAAGAACTAATTATCTAACTGATGATTATTTATTTTGAGGTAATTGATAGGATACAACAGCACTAAGAAACAAACAGGGTTTCAAAAGAAACTATTCATTCATCTCTTTGAGTTACAAGTGGAACATAGGACTTGAGCTTGAGGTGTTGATTTCACAGGGTGAAGTTATCAGCCTCACGCTCAACCTTTGCTCTTTACGGAGCTTATTACCATCTAAGCAACGTTTAGGAATTCGAGGGCTGAGAATCGAATCCCGGACGACGCGAGTGGTTGGCGAACATTTTACCACTGGACCACTGGTGCACATGAAAATATCATAAAATGTTTTTTATTACCAAACAAATCAAGAAAGTTTTGGCTTCTTCCCTTAGATGGCATAATCCTTAGTCTCATATAGAAAATGTAAGCGAAAACTGGTATAAGAATAGAACTTGTTCACTGTAGTAGAGTTCCATTATTTTTCATCGCTTGATTTGATTGGTAATCGTATTTTCCATATTTCCGGTATGAGTGATGAGTCCTTCCTATTGCATATTTTGGGTGTAGACTCGATGAACAAGGATTAAGTAACCAACTTTTCTCTCCACCTACCTAGATAACGTTTTTGAATTTTTACTCACTCCCACCCTATTGTGTGTTTGTGCGTTAGTGTATGCAGTGAAACTACTGAGCTTCTCTTCAAATTACTTATCTTCGCGGGGTCAGTCATTCTAACTTTAGTTAAATTCTTATGTTTTGATAATCTCACTACTCCTGATCTACTAATCTGACCTATGTAGTTGACATAACTCAAAGCAGTTACAAGGTGTCTTGTAAACTTTATTATTCTGTTTAGTTGGGTCCACTAGGTCATTTATCCTACAGTGTTTGTCCAATCTGAGTGAGTTCGTAGGTATGAATGTCACCCTGATTCGTGCTTTATTTAGAATCCTACGTAGGGCCATGGATGTCCCCTTCTTATATGGTAGAACTTTAGATCCCTTATATTCCCTCTTATTTATGCTACCATTATTTTGATTTTGACGAAATCTGATCTTCCTCATGAATTTCATAAGATAGTTATTTAACACCAAAGCCCCTTTTATCTGTTTTATTTCATTATTTAGTATTTTTTGTGATACTTAGTCTTACTGCTTGGTTTGTTAGACACTTAACTACGCCTGTCTTTACAGTTAACGGATGACATGAATTAAATTCTAAATATCTATTAGAATGCGTTGGTATTTTTGCAAATGCTGGTGTGAAGTTTACCTTCTATTCGTTTTATTTTGCAATCTAACATAGCTAATTCTCCTTGTTCATTTTCCGATTCAAATCTGGATTTCATTCCCTTTACTAGTGGACTTATAGGCATCAAGAAGCTAGAGATATTTTCTGTTTTCAACACTGTGTAAGTGTCATCCACATGTCTTTACCATAATTTTGCAGCAAGATTAAATGCATTAGGAGTAATATTTTCTTATCTGTCCATAAATACATCTGCTACGATAGGGGATATTGGTGATCCCATTGTTACACTTTCTGTTTGTCTATATATTTTGCCTTGAAATTTAAAGATAGTAGATGTGAAGGTTAACTGCATTTCAAAAGTAATTTACTCAATGGGTAGCTGCGTCCTATTAGTGAGTTCACGATCTGCAATAAGTCCTCCTTTAATTACTTCTTAGGCCATACTGACTGGTATTCTAGTGTAAAGACTAGTCATGTCAAAACTAACCATTGTTTCATCATTCTCTAGTTGAATGTCATTTAGTTTCTTCTTCATCTCATATAAATTAGTTAGCCTAGAGTTTTAACGATTTCTAATGGCACATAATATTATTACGAGCAATAAATTGTGCCCGAAATGTCATCAGAAAAATATTACTGTATAACACTGTGAAACTGTTTGACTGCTGTGATTTTGTTTAACATATGATGCTGTTATTCTGGATTTGAACTGTTACCCGTCATTTATTCTCCTTTCAACAATCCTTCTGTTAGGTGTTCATAAGCACATCTAGATAATGTTTAACCGATACGACTAATTCACTTGACTTCACAGGAGTACATAAATTGGTAAATGAAAAGTTGTTGAAAGAGAAATTTTGTCTTTATCAATGTTTTAGTGAACGAAAATAAGGAAGAGGATTTCTTCTGTTGAAGCATTCTCTTTTGAGTGATACAAATTTTATGATACACATTTGTACAAAACTCATTCAAACCCTTCTAAAAAATGACGGAAAAATTATTATTTAGGGATTCGTGGGGGATGGGGAGTTATCAAGGTGCTTGCCCATTCCAATTAGTTATCCGCAGTCGTTTTCAGCTGGCCCTTTACGAATAACTATATACGTTAATATCCACTTCAAAAGATCCACACTATTTTGCCCTCTGACACATGTCCAATTCATCATTTTCCATTCGGGTTCCCCTTAAAGACTTGACTGGCAGTTTCACCCAATGGTAAATCTGCATTTCCTTCTGCAAATCTATTGATAACACCTTGATAGTCATTTCTTCATTGCGTTCTCCACTGTCATTAGGGTGACTGGAGTAGATTACTGACTCTTAATTTAACAATATGCTATAATAGAGAAGATTTGTAGCTCAGGTGGATGATTTTGATGTGGTTTTGTTCTCTGAGCTGCGAAGCTTTCATCACCCTACTGAGTGACATCTTCAGCGCATGCTTCAATTTGAAGTGAGATTTTAGGTTTCTCCACGAGTTTATTAATCATCTCTCCTGGTGACCTTGGGCGTGATTGGTTGTTTGTGTGTTTTCACACCTTCTAGGTTACTTGTATTGGAGCTGATTGCTTCTTTGACTTAAACTTTGACCCTTTGTATGTGAGGTTTGTTTCTTATTGGTTGATAAATTTTGTCTATCTCGATGTGTCTATTGATTGATGATTCACTGGAATGCCAAGCTTCTAAAAATTCTCTAGCATTCTTGTTATTTCCTCTGTCTAATATTTGAAAATTGTCCCAGTCGAACTGATGTCCGTAGTTGTCTGTATGTAGTGATATGAGGGAGTGGATATCATGTCTTTTGACGGCTAGCTTATGTTCGTGGATACGAAGACGAAGGGGACGTCCACTTTGGCCAATGTAGTGTTTTTTGCAGTTGTTACAGTTTATTTTGTAGATGATGTTGGTTTTGTCTTCTTTCGCTGTTGAATCTTTTGGTTGACATAGAATTGAGTGCAGCGACTTTGTTGGTTTGTGTACGACGTCAATTCCTAAAGGTTTGAAGAGTCTTGTAGTGATTTCTGAGATATCCTTTATATATGGTAAGGCGATTTTCTTCGTGCTTTCCTTGGTGGCTTTTGCTTTGGTAGGTTGGCTTGGGGGTATATGTCTCTTGATGAAATTTCGTGGATATCCATTCGTGGAGAAATCTAAAAGCTCACTTCAAATTGAAGTATGCGCTGAAGATGTCACCCAGTAGGGTGATGAAAGCTTCGCAAACTAACCATCCAGCTCAGAGAACAAAACCACATCAAAATTAACAATATGCAGAATGCATCCACATTTTTATCACTTCTACACTATACCTTTTCATTTATTCGGAAACCTAATTAACCTTTCAAGCTACAAAACTCATGCGGACATCCTACGTCTCCATGTTTAATTTTGCTTCCATCGATAAAAGGAGACCTAAAGGATGATAAGCTTCCCGAACGCTTTCACCAGCTCATATAATTTCCACTCTCTGATTTCAGCGATGAATAATTTTGTATTTTGATTTTTTCTCTCTGTTTTAGTGTTCCTGTAGCGACTGGATAGACTTTCCAGAATACAGCTATTATCCCTGAGCTAAATTTTCCCTCCTTTTCCAGGCTTATGGAAGGCTAATATACCACTGAACTAGTAAATTAGGGCAATATCGTAACTTAGTAAGATCTCAGTTGCCTAGAATAGATTTGTTATGTACCAGGGTACAATGTCCACTTATTGCATCAGAGCTAATAATAGTATTCGCTTGTCTAAGTTGAAGTAGTGGGGCGACAAACTGGAACCTGTGATTCTTTGATTAGTCCTATATCAGTTGTGTCATACCTTAACATCTTCAAGAGATAAATTATCTATGAAAATAAGCATAATCTAGGATACTATCAGGGTATCAATCGATGGATTCACATGAAACTGTCTTAACCAATGAACTACCTGTTCAGTAGAAGAGTGTCTATATTTCAATACTGCATAAAGTGAACAGACTGTTAACCAACCAATAAAACTACAAGTTTAGTCTGTAATTGTGTTCATCTTTTTTTTATCAATTGATAGCCGATCAACTACTTTAAGTAGTTTAACTAATAAATACATCAATTTTAATTTTGGTTTTAAACTAAAGCACGTGTATGCACTCTGAAAACAACCTACATTCATTTTTCATTGGTTAGTCGTTAGTGAAGCAGAAAACTGGCTAAATGATGCCTTAATATTCAAACTTATTTATGTATTGTGCTACATTTGTGCATGTATCATCTAAATGATGTGCGTCACGTCAAATAATAAACTCTAATAGATACACTTACGAGGAATCATGCTATGGATTTCATAATTCTTTTCAAATATACTCAGCAGAATTAATTGATTGCCGAAGGAGTCAACGATCGTATCATAAATACTATGTGGACTGCTATTAATATTGTAATTTTACTGGTGTTAAGCAGATGCATTACTGTAAGTGAATACAGTTCTTAAAATTATTAAGAAATTAACCTTTATTTGTTATTATTATTCCACTGGATTTTTAGTAGACGTCCAACGGCACATTTCCACTTTGTTCGATTCTCTAAAGTCGTCTTAAGATGTCTCCAGTGTCGCCAATAAGCTAACTTTTCTTTTTTACACACTCTCTCCACTTCACCCTTGGACCAACGCCGAACTTGCCGTTTTTTCCGTTCAGGTACCGTTCGCGTGATAACCTGCTGCCCGATGTCACTCAACGGTCTCCACAGTTTCTCCGATTCATCTCTATTTATTTTGCCATATTTCCTGAGTGACAGGTTCTTGGTAGGTTTCACTGGCGGAGTTCCTTGTCGCTAATTTATTCTGATTGGCTATCTGATCTTAGGTATGCAGCCAGAGAAGGTAATTGGTGACTAAGTCTAAAGCCTGTTCAGAATTCGCTCGGTGACACCAAATCGGCAAACCACATATAAGGATTAAATGACCCAACATTGATGTTTAGAATCTCAGTCTTGTTCAATAAGTTGCTCCCAGGTGATTTCCAGTTTAACTTCAGATTATTGAAGCTCTGTCTCTGCTTCCTGGCTGGCTCTGCCATCCTCATCCTAGCCACTTGCAATTGAAACGATTGTGCATTGATAAGTGAAAGAACTGACCTGTTTCAAATTACTGACGTCGATATTGATTTTCGCTTGTTGTAGTAGGTTGTTGAATATCTTCATTACCTGAGTTTTCTATCTTTGCTTAAGGTCATGTCTACGCTGTCTACGTCTTCGAGTTTATGCACCGTTGGGCATAAGAAGTCTGGGATATCTAAATCTTCCAGTCTCCTTGTCATCCGAAAGTATTCCTGTTTTCTTGCTACCCACTCTCGGTCTGTCGTGATGGTCACACTTTTAACTGATTAAAGTGTCTAACATCATGTAATTAACTACGTAATATAACAAACTTCTGGATGCAAACGTTTTAGTATTCAGTACAGTCAGATGTAAGCTAAAATGGTTATGTGTTTAGTCATGGAAAACCATCGGGAAGCAAAGAAGTATTGAACGGGTGTTTCGTCCCGGTGTAGGACTCTTCATGTGCGAGCGTCCTCCCCCAGGTTGCCAACCCAGGAGAATTTGGTCATAAGGTAAGGTCGGAGGCCACTGAGCCACTGGAATCCAACTCAATGGCCCATGAATTCCAACTTCCGATAATTTTACAGTATATATATATATATATATATATATATATATATATATATAGTGCAACCTCCAGGCAGAATGATAAAAGCTCATAGTATGTAATACTAGTTGTTTTTTTTATTACAGCTTGATTCCACACTTTATTTTTGGTACAAGTATGGAATTTTCAGCATGGATATCGGTAGCCCAAATTTTGCAGGCCGACCATAGATATCAGGTGTGCGTCGGCATGGGCTCGAACCTCGGACCATGAGCATAGTCGGCGAGAGTCATAACTACTGTACCACCGACGCACTTATTGGGAGTTGTAATATTCCCTAAGCAACGACTTCTTGATCTCACTGACACGATGGACTGATCAATATGGAAAGCACCAAGTCCAATACCTGCCTATTAACCAGTAAAACCCACCAGTTATTACTGTTTGGCATTCCTAATAGTTCTCATTGGAATATGGGACTTGGCGTTTGGATGGTTCATTAGCAGTGGTATTTTCTACACAGTACCGGGTTATTAGCCTCAGTCCCTAAGTTCCCTGCTTCTCTGGCTTACGAATGGTAAGTAAACTAGGCGAGGTTTAGGTGTAGGACTCTATCTGGTGAGAACTGAAGCTGAAACTCTTTGGTAGTCAGCTAGCAGCTATCTGTCAACGTACAAGTTAAATTAGGGTAGAATAGTGTCATATCTAGACATTTTAGAGACTAATCTAATCATTCTTCAGAGACAGGGCGAATTTAATTTGATCTAAATTTTTATGGTACTATCAAGTGATTAATCATCATTAAAAGCATGCAAAAGTGCACAGATGGAAAACTATCCGTGCTGCAGAGTATACTCAGTGTCTTTGTCCGTAAATAAGACTCCTAATACTAATTAATATACTACATGAGAATTCATATTAAATATGCTTCTCAAAGTCAACATAACATGGAGGTGACTTCCAATTATAATTATTGGTTAATTAGTTTCAATATAATGACAAGAAGTATGTATATTGTATAGTTTCTGTGTACTACGTATCACGCTGAAATGTGCACTACCACAGTTATTGGAACAAAAGATAACCCGTTTCTGATCCTTGACTTTTCGGTGTATTTAAGGTGATTGTTTGTGCTGTGATGCAAATAACCTTTAAAATATTCAATTTTCTAAAGCTCTGACCTATTTAAATACATTGATATTTAGGTGTTGGTTTGTAGGAATTTGGTTGATTGGTTACAGGATTTCATCATGAGCTGACATTAGTTAGAGAACCATTGGAAAACCAACTAGGAGTACTGGGCAGCTGTTTCGTCCTAGTTTGCGACTCTTCATCAGTATGCACCCATCGCCAGGGTTCGAACCCAGGACCTTCTGGTTACAAAGCAAGCTCGTATACCAATAAGCCAGTGGGACTCAATCCAATGGTTCACGAATTCTAACTTCTGTCAATTCAAGACATAGTGCGACCCCAGCCTGAAGTTCTAGTGAGAAGCCGTTACCAGGAGGGTGCAGCAGGTCGCCGAAGACATTGGTTAGGGTTGCGCTATGTTGTGAATTGACAGAAGTTACAATTCGTGGACCATTGGGTCGGGTCTCACTGGCTTAATGGTATTCGAGCTCGCTTTGTAACCAGAAGGTCCTGGGTTCGAACCCTGGCGGTGGGTGCATACTGATGAAGAATCGCAAACTAGGACTAAACAGCTGTCCAGTACTCCCAGTTGGTTTTCCAATGGTTCTCTAACTAATGTCAGCTCATGATTAAGAATCCTGTAAATAGATTGACTCTTCGTAATAGTTTGAAGGAAGATTGTCATTAAACGTCCATAAATCAATAGATATCTAGCTGAATAATTTTCATCCTTTTCTATTTCAACCCGAACAAGTGTCTTCTGTTCATATATCGTAAACACCAGTGTAGTAAGAAATTGGACAGGTAACAAACCTGTGTCATTTATTAGGAATTCCCATTACTGGCATGTAGATTTAATTAATATTTTCGAAAAATGTAAAGGACGTAAAGGAAATTGAATAATGTAGTATAGATTTTGTTACAAATTGACATATCAGTTAGAAAGTCACTGAATACGAAAATGTACCAGACTTATGTTTCGTCCTAGTTTGATACTCATCGGCAGTGTGCGATCAATGTCTCAACAGAGATCATAGACTGGACCTTGACATTACAAAACAGTTCTGTTTATTGTTAAGCCCCTGAGCGATCCGTGAATTTTAACTCCAGTCATTTTGTTGTCCATTCGAATAACCAACAGGTTTGCCCGGCTATGTGGTCATGATCGTGATACATAGCAAAATTGTCAGCGGGAACTGTAGAACAATCCAAAATCTTATTCTTTTGGGTTCCAATTTTGACATAAGGCTTCAGTAGCAGCAGTGTTAAGCTTTTTTTTCTACGGGCAGGGTTGCTAGTCAAATGACCAACTTCCCCTCTTTTCCAGTCTTACTATCGGATAAGCGAAGCTTTGAAGTGTGTCCAATGGGTTTTGAAATCCGGATCACGTGCGTTGTCCCAAACAAGGAGAAAAAAGGTATACCTTGATCACTAATTTTCAATGATTCGCTATCTTATGTTATTTTGCGATGAAACCTTGACTGAAAGTTTTGTTACGGTCGAGTATGCCAGTTGCAATGTGACTGTAGAGAAACTACTCAATGGTATCACCTCGAGGTATTTATCTGCTGAATCCCTTTTTTTTATTTTTATAGTGAATTAGCTGTTTCTTTTCTAATACCACTTTACAATTTTCAAGGTACTATTCATTACTGAACGTCTATATAATATGTTTTCAATGAGAAACCATAATAATAATAATAATTAGAGTTTTCAAAAGAATGGATACTGAAGAAAGAATATGCTTTTCGACAACCTCATCATTAGGCTCTACAGTTATTGTTTGTATGTTATTTGAACATTATTGTTATTCATAATACTATTTCATTCATTCACTAAAATGTATATATAACTGTAGAACCTGATGATGAAGTTATCGAAAGAGTATTCTTTGTTCAGTATCCATTTTTCTGAAAATAAGAATTAAGTTGAAAATTTCAACGTGTTTTATTTAATCTGCTGTAGATTTACAATACCAGATACGATTTCTTAGTGAGAAGTTGTTTTCATTGACTGATTCAACTTCAGGGACTACAGTTATAAAACCATAATTATTAGAACTCAAATAGCCATCAGTAATGGCAAATGAAATTTATATCAGAAACTATGTTGGGATACATGTATAAGATGAAATAACACTCCGTTAGTTCACATTGACAACTCAGTATATATAAAATAAGAGGGCGTTCACAACATACAATGGAATGTGAAATACTAATATATTTGTAATTTATATGAGTTGTGATCAAGATCTGAGCGAATAGTGCCACAATAATTGGGTCCCGGGTAAAAAAAGACATATGTAAAGACTGTTTGTTAAATTTCAATAAGATTGAAATAATTGATCCCAATATTTCGTTCGGCAAACTGGTTCGAATATAATATTCACGAGGGAGTGAGTTAGTAATATTCACTAGTACGAGAGAAATATGAATACTGGTTTGATCGAGAGTTACCATAAGTCAGAGAACCGTTGAAAAATCTGAGAGTACTAGACAGGTGCTGCGTCGGTGGTACAGCGGTAAAATACTTGCCTAATATGCATGTGGTCCGGGGTTCAATCCCTGGCCGACGTAATCCTCCACCTCTCTAAGCGAGAAATAGGACTGGCAAAGAGTGATTGGTTGGGCGTGAGGCTAGGAACCCCATCCCGTAAAAATAAACACAACTGCTACTGAAACTTCAAGACTGTA